AACTAAATCATTTTTTGAATAGGCAATCTTTCAAAAATATATATTGTATGCAAAAAAACGAATTACTCCCCAAAACTGCATGAGATAAGCATTAGGTTGACATGGCTGTTAAGATAATACTCATAGTGTCTCTTAAAATACATTTTTATTTCGATATTTGGAGCTGAGAGAGAGACCCCTGTGAATATGAAAAAATACATTTTCTTCGTTGCCAAAGTTTACCCTTTTTATTCAACGTTATTTAACCACAACCCTAATAATCTACCAAGAGCCTGCTATAGCCTCTTAAAGACAGTAATATTTCCCATGGTGAAACAAGGTGAAGGTAAAAGGTTCAAGGTGAGTAAGAAATGTGACTACACTCTGTTTCTTTGTTTTTGACATATGTTATCAGTTGCTAGAATTCCACCTTCACTTTGTGTTGTCACGTTTCTTACACCTTTTCCACTCTTTTTATATAAAAAAACATTCATAGCAATCGGTTAATCATCACAAAGCTTACCTATTAAAATTAGGGAAATTGATACGACCCGTCCGACATCCATCCTCTTTTCCTTTGAATCTATAAAATCAAGCAAAACAGATATTTTCTCACAAAAGTGGCAGGTAAAAGCCTTTTTTACACCAGTTTTTAAAACTATTAATAATTTAGTAGTACAAAGTCTGCAAATGATAGTATTCAGTGTTGCAGTAATTGTATTTTTTAAAGCTATAGGTACCTAACACATCCAATTTAAAACAGTTTGATACCAACAAATGTATAACAATATGTTCCCACCTCATTATAATTCATGTTCTGAATCCCATATATTGAAACAACTTTGATAAAATGCAACTTTTTCTTCTGTAAAGGTTATCTGTGTTTCAGCATACTGTACAACAATTGTATTAATGTGGTTTACTGACAAAATACTTTACAAAAACATTGGTCACTTTAAATAAAGAAATAATGTATACCTATGTTTAAAAAAAAGAAGGTTTATAATAGAATAACAATGTGTTGTATCTGAAACAGTGCATTTTTCTCCACGCCGCAAAATGAAATGTTATATTGTACTTAGTGAAATGGAAAACACATATTAAATATGTGAATGACTGCCACAGACACACAAACACACAGACACTCACACACAAAAACAATTTCAGACGAAACCCTGCATATATACCAAAAAATGTACTTACCCATCATTAAGAGATAAAAGATGAAAAGTTATAAAATCCCTTTTTCTATCTGAATTCGATGTACCAAACTATTTCAGTGTCTTTTTTATATAGTCCTTTTCAAGTCTGGGAGATTGCAAACCTCTCCTCTGACAGTCCTCATCTATACCAAGGCCTTTATATTGGAATGAAAGAAAGGCTTATGACGTGGCTCAAAGGTCATACATGTTTTAAATATGTTGCTACACCTCAGCAACAAACACAACCAAATACCTGTATCTGGATAGAGAATGTCAAACTTTAACCTGTCAGTTTGCTGCATCATATTCAAAGTATTTCCTCTTCTTTTGTCTGAGGAACAGGTTACTTTGGCAATCCATCATGTGAATGTTGAAGGAGGTTTCACCAGTGTTACAGAAGGTTAGGGGAAAACTGCACATCTTAAAAACTCTCAAGATAGACGTCAAATGTTTTTGTATCGGATTGTGAGCTTTTCGTAGACGTCAGATTCATTAGTCCTTCTATTTCTGTCAGCACCCTCAGATCTAAAGCAAACTCTGTTATGATTTTTAGTCCCAGTAGCAACGAAGCTTGTTGACATACAATGGGCGATAGTTGTAAATTCAACCAAAAGCTTAAATAAACAGGAACATATTCATAATTGTAATTTGTTAATCCTTCCATGTTATCCTGCTTATCCAGGTCAGGTTCATTTAAATAATATGTCCATAAAGATTATAATCTTTATTTTTGATAGAAAGAATCGGAAAAAGATACACTAAAAAAATATTTTATCTTTTTCTTCTGGTTTTTATATTTTTGCAATGTATACTAAGAACAATATACTGCAAGTATAAACTTGAACAATTATGTATTTTACCTTGAGATTGAGGTTGGAGAAAAATACTGGTTAATTTTCACTGTTTATTAAATGCGGCATCACATTTTTATAAATATAAATAGTATACTATTTAGTGTATTCATATTGTCTTTGTTTGATTAGGCAATTGCTTTTGTTTTTTGCATTTCTTCCTGCTCAATTAGCACTTAAATGTACTGTATTCTGATTCTGATTCTGACTTTATTTGAAATCTATATCTATATGTATTTGTTAGTCCTAACATGGTTGAGTAATTTCTAAAGTATTTCATACCTCATATCATTAACAAAGCCAGTCATTTAATGTCACGCACATTCATTTGAATGTCATTTCTACACAAGAGGTGGAGCAGGTTACCACTGAATCTTAGTGTAGGATTAAACTTTACGATCAAGTGTCTTAAGCTACTTGAATAATATGTTCTTTTGTTCATTTTTCTTTTTTTCCCCTTCAAATGTGGCTTTCAATATCTCACAAACAATGCAGTAACAATCTATCTTGCTGTTCTATTTTAAAGTTTATTAACAGCATGGGTAGCTTTTAGTTTAGTTTCAGTGACGTCTTTGGCTATGAAGTGTGTGGTTTTTGTATCACATAGAGATCACCTGTCAATCACACAGTGTTGTTGATCATTGGACGATCATTATTTTAAACCAGATTTGTGAACGAGTCACCCTATACATGGGATATTTTGCATAAACACTTAAGAAACACAATGATTTGAACTTGACTGATTCTTTCCAAAAAGAAAAACAATTTTTGTTCCTTGTGTACGATTTATAGTTCTCTTTTTGTGCCTCATTTTAATGAATCACTACTTGATCTGTCTGTGCTGCGACTGATATGCATGCACGAACCCATATTGAGACACACTATTCCTTGTTTCGATTATACCGGCAGCTAATGGTTACTCTTGTTTAAAGCGTTTGTGTGAGCTAAGTGTCAGTGAAACAAAAATATGATTTAGTTAGTGAGCTACATGGAGATGGCTGGACACTTTTATCAACCTCTATCCTCTTGTTTGCGCCCTTGCAAAGGCATAGTCTGTAAGAACATTTGTTAACATTTAATATTTCTTAAATATTGGCTTCAGTTATACTGTAATGTATAACTGTGCAATAGTCTGCATTAGTAATAAAACTGTGCAATACTTCAAGTTAAAGTCAACTTTATTGTCTTTCAGTTTGTACAGACAGACAGAGATATCGAAATACTGTCTCCCACAATCACAAGAAAAACAAAAATGCAAATATATATATACAAATATTTATAATAATATGTATATACACATACATAATCAACATCGACACATATATATCCACACATCAAAAAGCATAAATAAAGGCACAACAGTACAAAAACAACAGTCATCACTTTGGCACTTTCACTGTACTACTTTTTAGCACCAATCAGTTGTTTAGCATTCATATCATTATTTATAGAAATGTATTCAGGGGTTTTTCTAGAAAATATAGTATGAGTATATAGTATTCAGAGCTCCGTAAAAGCAAAGCTGTCAATGCCGTCTGACGTTCTATTTGACACAATTTTCATATTTTGGAGTAATTATACTTTTTTTTTTGACAAACAGAAATATTGTTTTCTGGCATCACTCTAAAATGTTAAGGAGAAAATAGTCATTCTGGTATGAGGGCCCACGCCTGGTTTAGACAAATCCCTCGTATAAATGTTGATACCCTTTTTTCAAATGTATTGACGTTGAATTTTAGGTTTAGGGTTATCATGTAAACATTTTACTTTAACATCAGTATATATTTTTGGAATTAATTTGGATTTAATTGTATAATATTCTTAAATGGAGCAACAACCAAATTACCAAATCAAATTCCCCCCGCCTTGGTAACAATATCGTTTTTCTTATTCTAATTTGGATTATGAGTGTTTTATGGAAAGTATTATTGAAATAGCATAAAAGGGTTAATCGAGAGGGTTAGTGTGTCCTTCATATACAAACATATGTTAGTATTACCTGCAGAAAGCATCATCATCATCATCAGGTCAGCAGACTGGAGGAAAAGCAGTTGGCGGTCTAACAGTGTCTCATTGATAAGATATTTTCTTTTCTCCTGTATGATGCTGGTTTAAAACTACCATTTAGGAAATTATGATACAGGGTTTGATAGTTTGTACATCTCTAATACCTCAATGGAATTCCCCATAGTATGATTTACCACCCACTTAGGACAATGATACACTATCATAAATTATGACAAATGGTTTATTATAAATAGTTTTATTTAATTTTATCATTGTTATCAGATTATTAGAAGACAGCAAAATATATTAACAAACATAAAGGACAGCTCTTAGGACACACATATGTATGATGATATAAATACACAATAATTGTACAGTAAATGGCTAATTACACAAGATATTCTATACAGTACAGTAATTAGTAACCCAACCTACAGCATACATGTGCTTGGAGCAAAGAGCACACCTTTGCACATTAGAATTCTAGTAACTAGTTAAGATTGTTAACTTTACTCACCAAGAAGCTCTTAAAGTCTACATGTTAAAGTTAAATTCATCAATGATTTGAAGATATAGTGTCTTTGGGGTTAGTTAATTATTTATTTTTACATAATTCATAATAGGCAAATTATTATTGTGATTAATTAATGGACTAAGTGATTACAGTTATATTTTTTATCATGTTTACCTGAAGC